CGTCCCGTCCCGTCGCGTCGCGTCCCGTTCCGTCCCGTCGTCCCGTCCCGTCGTCCCGTCCCGTCCAGTCGCGTCGCGCTCGTCCCGTCCCGTCGTCCCGTCCCGTCGTCCCGTCGCGTCGCGTCAGTCCCGTCTAGCTCGTCGCGTCCGTCCCGTCTGTCCCGTCGCATGCGCCGTGCCTGCCCGTCCCGCAGCGCCACGCCGCGCCCGTCCCGTTCTGCCTGCCGCGCGGCGCCGAGCCGCGCGCGTCCCGTTCTGCCTGCCGCGCGGCGCCGAGCTGCGCGCGTCCCGTCCTGCCTGCCGCGTAGCGCCTCGTGGCGCCCTACCCTAGCGTCCTGCAGTGCCTTGAGCCTGACCCATTGCCTGTCACGCCCTCCTTAGGTCCTTTACGCGTTTAGGGTTTCGGCAGCAGCAGTTCCCACCTCTTCGCTTCCGCTATGGCGACCCCTAGGGCCCTGCGCTTTGACGCCGAGGGTAGGCCACTCGAGTTCTCGGTCTGGCTCCAGTGTGTGCGCCGCCTCCTAGAGATCAGGTTCAGGCAGACGAGTCTTTGTGGGCGCACGCTTCCGGTGACCTTCCTGCGCCCCCCGCCCCTGCACCCTTAGGCGCTGACGCTAGCACTGCAGACAGAGACCGTTATGCACGCCAGCGTGCTGACTTGACAGCGTGGAAGTCGCGTGACGCTGCGACCTTCATCGCCCTTAGCAACCTCCTCCCTAAGTCTGAGGAGGCCCACTTCACTCAGGTTCCCACTGCTAGTGAGTTCCTGACTGCGATCAAGGCCCGCTACGCTACTCCCACCACTGTCTATCTTGGTCGACTTTTCCTCCCGTTCCTGTTTCCTGACTTCGCCTCGTTTGAGCGCTCTGCTGACTTGATCGCTCACCCGCGCTCGCTTGATTCTAGCTACAGCGCTGCCTGCACTGACGCACAGCTTGCACTGCTCCCTCCCCCTATGGCGATTACGATCTATTTCATCGCCACTAGTCTCCCTGACCGCCTTGCCTCGGTTCGTGACGCGCTTCTTCTGAAGCACCCTAGCGAGCTCACTATCGAGGTCCTTGAGTCTGCCCTCAAGGACGTCGAGAGCAACCTCCGCTCGGTAGCCTCCGCCTCTGGTCCTGTGCCCCCTCCACTGTTTCACGGGTGCACTGTCCCTCAGCTGCCCACCTTTACTGCCTCCCTCGCCACTGCCGCTACTGACGTGACCGCAGCTGCTGTTACGACTTCTTTGCGGTCTAGGGGTAGGAGTGGCAGGAGGGGTGGTTAGGGTGCGTGTTAATATGAGAGTGGTAGCCATGGCTAGCAAGATAGGTTGAAGAGATTGATTAGGAAAAAGTGTCGAGAGACAAAAGTAGGAAACCCTAATTGAACTTAGGGTGTGTGCAGTTTGTGCTAGAAACTAAGAAATGAACCTAAATTGAATCGGAAGTGTAACTCGCTCTAAACATGGCGAAATAACAAAGGAACACCATGATAAATGCCAAAGCGAGCTCTAGCCTACTCCAACACACCCCCAGGCTAGGTGAAGCTCTGGAGCAAAACACCTAGCGAACCGGCACACCCCCAGAAGTAGAGAGACGCGCGAGCCCAAGCTCGCGCACGTAGAAACGGTGTGGCGCACGTAGGAGGGCCTTGGTGAAAATATCAGCAAGGTTGGCAGTAGCCTCCACCTTGCAAAGACGTAAGAAGCCAGACTGCACCAGCTCGCGCACGAAGAAGTAGCGGACCTCGATGTGTTTGCTGCGAGCTTGATAGACAGGGTTTTCAGTGAGGTGAATCATGCTCGCACTGTCACAGGAGAGCGTCACAGAGGGCTGAGAGTGACCAAGTTCAGCAAGGAGAAACGAGAGCCAGCGAGCCTCCTGAGCCGCCAGTGTGCCTCCGTACAATTCAGCCTCGCAAGTGGAAAGACAGACAGAGGATGAACGAGTGGAGCGCCAGCTGACGAGGCCACTGCCAAGAGTGAAACCATAACCCTGAGAGGAGCAGCGATCAGGGCGAGAATCAGCGTAGGAGGAATCACTGTAACCGGAAAGAACGGGGGGAGAAGAGCCACCAAGAGTGAGTGCAAGATCAGAGGTAGCGCGGAGATAGCGGAGAACACGCTTGGCTGCCGCCCAGTGCACGTCAGTGTGGCGGCCTAGACCGACAAAGCGAGAGAGAACACTGAGGGGGTAAGCAAGGTCGGGGCGAGTGCACATCATAGCATACATAAGAGACCCAACGAGCTCAGGATAAGGCCGCAGCTCAGAGGAGGGAGCAGGGGCGCAGCTGATGGTTAGCGGGAAGAGGGGTGGAAACGGGCTTGGCCTGCGACATATCAAAACGCTCAAGAATGGAGTGGATGTAGAAACTTTGAGAGAGAGAAATGGTGCGGGCAGCACGATCACGACGGATCTCCATGCCGAGGTAATGACGAAGCTCGCCAAGATCCTTGCAGAGGAGACGCACCTGGAGGGCCTGCTTGACAGCGGCAAGGTCGGCAGAATCTTCAGCGAGGAGCACCAAGTCATCGATGTATGCAAGAATGTAAAGCCTGTGGGGGGAGGTGCGAATGAAGAGACTGGGGTCGGAGGTGGAGGTAGAGAAGCCAAGAGAGTGAAAAGTGGAGGCGAGCTTGGCGTGCCACTCGCGCGGGGCCTGTTTAAGGCCATACACAGGTCGCTTTAATTCCCAAACAGTGCCTGGAGGGAAAGGGCGAGGAAAGCCAGCAGGACGCTCAAGGAATATGCGCTCATGCAGCTCGCCCTGAAGGAAAGCGTTGGAAACGTCCATGGAATGGATCTCCCAATTCCAGCGAGCACCTAAGTCAAGAAGGAGGCGGAGAGTGGGGAGACGGGCTGTGGGGGAGTAAGTGGCAAAGTAGTCAATGCCTTCACGCTGAGTGAAGCCCTTGGCGCAGCAACGGGCTTTGAAGACAGGGAGCTCCCCAGGCAGCTGTTTGACACGAAAGACCCATTTGCCCTTGACAATGGTGGCGCCAGGGGGGGGGACAGAGTCAATGTAAGATTGAGTTCGGGTGAATGCCTCACACTCGGCAATGATGGCACCCATCCACTCAGTTGCATGAAAACCAGACACTGCCTCGGAATAGGTCTGAGGGGTGGGAATAGCGGCAGTGTCAACGGAGAGAAGAGTGGGAGAATTGGAGAAATCGCCAATGGTGACACAGAGGAGGGGTGAAACGGGATGAACAGAGAACAACTCTTCAAATCGATCCTCGAGAAGATCGACGTTTGGAGAGGGAGAGAGACGAGTAAAGAGAGCAGAGTGTTGAAAATTGGACAATGCACGGGTCATGGAGCGGGTGAGACGTGGAGAGGGTGGGGGGGGCAGGTGCAGAAGGGAGGGTAGCAGAAGGAGGTGATGAGGGAGGGGCCATGGGAGCAGAAGATGAAGAGGCAGGAGGAGAGGTGCCAGAGATGACAGCAGAGGGGGGAGTGGAGGGTGCAAGGAGGGGAGCAGATCAAAGTCAGACCAATGAAGAGAGGGAGGAGGAGGGGTGGGAGGGGGAGTGATGAATGGAGAACGAGTTTCATCAAAGATAACATCCTGGCTGCGAAGGAGCTGCTGAGAGGAGGGAGCATAGAAAAGATAGCCAGGACAGTCAGCGTTGATGCCAATGAACGCACAGAGCTGCGTCTTGGGAGCGAGCTTCCCACCCTGACGTGCTCGATCGGCGGGATTGATAAGGACATGAGCGACACAGCCCCACACCCGAAGAGGGCGGGCGGAGGGTTGGCGGCCAGTCCAGAGCTGGAAGGGAGTAATGGAAGGGCGAAGGGGATGGGGGCGAAGGTTGGAAAGAAGAGTGGCATGAACAAGAGCGTAGCTCCAAAGAGAGTATGGAGCAGAAGCATGAGTAAGAAGACAGCGGGAGATCTCCATGAGAGTGCGAATACGACGCTCGGCAACACCATTTTGTTTAGGAGAATGCGGAAGGGTGGAGGTTTGACGAATGCCATGAGAGGAGTAGTAAGAAAGGAGAGAGTGGTTAAAGAACTCGCCACCACCATCAGAGTGGAAGTGTGCGACAGGACGGCCAAAGCAAAGGTGTGCCTGCTCAGCCCAGCGAATGATGAGGGAGGGGGCGTCAGATTTGGCACGAAGGGGATAGACAGTGGCAAAGCGAGAGTGGTCATCGACAAGAAGGAGAAAGTAACGATGACCTTGACGGGAGGCAATGGGAGAGGGACCCCAGAGGTCCATATGCACAAGATCAAGGGGTTTGGGGGAGGCAGAAGGGGGAGAAGGATGAGGAGATTGAGATAGCTTGGCTTGAACACAAGGGGTGCATGGAGGAGCGGGAGAGGGGGGAAGGGGTGGGAGAGAGGGAGGGAGATCATGAAGCAGCTTTGAAGTGACCATGCTGCGAAGGAGAGGGAAGTTGGGGTGGCCAAGACGATGATGAAGAAGAAGGGTAGGTTGGGTGAGAGAGCGACAGTCGCAAGAGGAGACGGGAGGGGCAGAAGAAGAAGAAGAAGAAATGTGATGGACAGATGAGGGGAGGGGAACACGAAGGGTGTAGAGGCGAGTAATAGGAGAAAGGGTGAAACGAGCAAGGTGCCGGTCGCGGTAATGAAGATCACAATAGAGTTCACCTGCAGGGAAGAGTGCTCGCACACCCAGGCGTTGGAGGGCAGGGAGGGAGAGGAGGTTATGACGGCAAGAGGGAACATAAAGGCCAGTGACAGCGCCAGAGGGAGAGGCAGGACAGGGAAGAGAGGAAGTGCTAGTGCATATGATGGTCATGGTCTCCCCAGCCCCATCAATAGAGAGGGGACGAGGAAAATTGCGAAGGACACCAGCATCACGAAAGACAGAGTCAGTAGCAGCACTGTCAAGGACAAAATCCAAGGTGCGAGGAAGTGAGAGAGCGGCAGCCGTAGGGCTGGGAGAGTGAGAGACAGTGCTGTGAACGAATGGAGAAAGTGGAACAACAAAACGAGGGTCCATAAGAGGAGAAGCACCAAGGATGCTATCCTGAGATGGCATGGTCACACTGAAGACAGAGGCCAGAGAACCAATACCAGAGGTGACAACGGCACAAGAGCGGCGACGTTGATGGGACAGCGGAATCCAAGCAGAGGGGCGGAGAAGAGGGGAGGTCCAACGGCAAGTAGGAGAGGTGCAAGGGGAGGAATGGGCAGCGAAAGGAGCGGAGAGCAGGGAAGGCAAGGGTAGGAGAGGAGGTACGGCAGGAGACAGGTGAGGGCGGAAGCACAGAGGGGGAGAGGTAAGAGTGAGAATAGGCCCCATCTGGGGAAGGGGATAGCAATAGAGCAGATGTGGGGAGATAAAATAGGAGGAGGAATAGGGGCGAGAGAGTCAGCTGCTGAGCCGTTGAGGGGAGACATAAGAGGAGGAGGAATAACGGCGGAGTAGTCTGCTGCTGCGCCGCTGAGGGGAGAAATAAGAGGAGGAGGGATAATGGCGGAGTAGTCTGCTGCTGCGCCGCTAAGGGGAGAAATAAGAGGAGGGATAATGGCGGAGTAGTCCGCTGCTGCGCCGCGGAGGGGAGAAATAAGAGGAGGAGGGATAATGGCGGAGTAGTCTGCTGCTGCGCCGCAGAGGGGAGAAAATATAGGAGGAGGAACACAGTGGGGAAGGAGCACGGCTACGAAGCAGGGCCGGCAACCAGCCGCAGCAGTAGAGGAGAGGAGAGAGAGGCGGAGGAGAGAATGAGATGGAGAGGGGAATGAAAGGAGAGAAGAGAGGAGGAGGAGGGTGAAGGGGCGGATGGTGAGGACGGGTAGGTATTGATGAGCAAGATTACGAAGCAAAGCCGGCAACCGGCTGCAGCAGTAGACGAGAGGAGAGAGGCGGAGGAGAGAGTGAGATGGGGAAGGGAATGAAGGGAGAGAAGAGAGGAGGAGGAGGGTGAAGGGGCGGATGGTGGGGAAGGGTAGTAGATAAGGAGAGAAAATAGGAGGAGGAAGAGGTGGGGTGGTGCTTGACGCACAAAGGAGAGTGGAGGAAGGGAGGAGGAGCACGAAGGGTAGGGAGGAGAGAAGAGAGGGGGAGGAGTGTAAGAGGCGAATGTGATGAGCGGAGAGGGAGGAGGTGGTGCGAAGGAGGCAGGAGAAGGGGGGAGGTGGGAGGAGGAGTTCGGCGCACCACGAAGGGGGAGGAAGATGCCCGCGAAAAGGGGGGGGGGGGGGAAGGGAGGGCGACCGCGGAAAGGAGAGAATGGGCGGCGGGGAGAGTGACGGTGGTGGGCAGGCCGTGCGCGCGCGACGGCGGCGGACAAGGCGCGCGAGCGCGCGACGTCGGCGGAGAGGGCGTGCGCGCGACGGCAGAGGAAGGGCTCTTGCGCGCGACGGGAGGGCAGGACGCACGACGGGAGGGCAGGGCGCACGACGAGGCAGGGCAGGGCGTACGCGACGAGGGGAAATGGCGTGCGACTAGGCGACGAGGCGCGCGATGGGGTGGGGAGGCCGCGGGGGATGGATAAGGGGTCCGCGAGTTGAAAATGAGGGAAAGAGAAAGAATAAACGAAGGTCGAGATGGTAAGAAACGAAAACCTACACTAAGTGTGAAGTGGCGCCCCGGATGCGTAAGGTCTAAAGCGTCCTAAGAGATGTAGATAAGCAGAAAACGCCAAGGATTAGGCTCTGGATACCATGTTAATATGAGAGTGGTAGCCATGGCTAGCAAGATAGGTTGAAGAGATTGATTAGGAAAAAGTGTCAAGAGACAAAAGTAGGAAACCCTAATTGAACTTAGGGTGTGTTCAGTTTGTGCTAGAAACTAAGAAATGAACCTAAACTGAACCGGAAGTGTAACTCGCTCTAAACATGGCGAAATAACAAAGGAACACCATGATAAATGCCAGAGCGAGCTCTAGCCTACTCCAACAGTGCGGGCGGAGGCGGCGGAGGCAGCGGAGGTGGCGTGGCGAGCGGCGGTGGCGGCAGTACATCGGCTATTAGCTCCTCTACTGCAGCTGGTGGAGGTGACGCTCGGGTTCGTCAGGCACCTGCTGGTCCGCCAGCTGCAGGTGCTGGAGTGGCGGCTTGGTACCTGGCTCAGCGGCAGCAGCAGCAGCAGCAGCAGCAGCCCCTCCTCTCGCAGCAGCCACAGCAGCAGCAGCAGCGGCAGCAGCAGGCTCCGGGGCAGGGGTCAGGACCGCGTCAGCTGTCGCGTGGCGTCGTCCACCCTCCCTGCACCTACCTCGTTCAGACAGGTGCTCGCCGAGGCCTCCCCTGTGGCCGCACCCACCCACCGGGTCAGTGCTTTGCTCAGCTCACTGACAGACTTCGTGCGGCCTACGGCGTTGACGGCCCTGCCCCTGACTGGCTTCCCCTTGTTGAGTCGTACGGCCCTGCTCTGTGGGGCATGTCGACTTCTCAGTTGCTTGATCTCTTAGCAACTCCTCATGCTATGTATGCTGTTGTTGATCCTAGTGCTTCTGACTCTATTTACTCGAGTGTTGTTAGCTTAGGTGCTAGTGTTGCTGAGGTGCATGTGGCTAGCGTAGGTACTTGTGTAGACACTAGTCCAGGAGCTGCTCCGGAGGACACTTCGCTGTCTTTCACTCTGGACTCCGGAGCTTCGTACTGTTTCTTCCGCGACCACACGACGCTTACTCCGCTTCCTGCCCCGGTCTCTGTGGCACTGGCTGATCCCACTTCGGGACCAGTCACTGCTCGCTACACTACTACGCTTCCATGCCCGGCTGTTCCCTCCGGTTCTCTGACCGGCTTCCACGTCCCCTCGTTCTCGAGGAACTTGGTGGGCGTGAGGCCGCTCGTGAGTCAGCACATGGGTGTGTGGATTGAGCCTTCTGACGAGACTGCGGTTTGTGTCGACGGGGACACGTACGCGCCTCTCGCCACCTTTACCGCTGAGCCGGGCTCTGGTCTCTACACACTTCACACTGTGCCTCGGCAGCAGCAGCAGCAGCAGCAGCAGCAGCAGCCGTGACAGCAGCAGCAGCTACTGCCCCCGACCACTGTCACTGCCCCCCGTCAGGTCCCCCCCCCTTCACCAGGTTGCCGCTTCTCACCAGGTAGCTGTGTCTGGTCAGGTTCCCGTGTTGGTCCAGTTGCTGCGTCTTGCTCCTGCCGGTCACTTGCCCACCCCACCGTTCTGTGGCACCACCGGATGGGGCACCCGTCCATTCCTCGTCTGCGCGCTATGTCTAGTTAGCGTCTTGTCTTAGGCCTCCCGCGAGTCTTGCCGTCGATGCCGCCTTCGCTTGCACCACCTTGCGGTCCCTGCGTCGAGGGTCAGCTGCACGCCACCCCTCACTCCTCCTCCCTTCGTCCGGCCACCGAGCCCTTTGAGACTCTCCACTTGGACGTCTGGGGCCCCGCCCTTCACCCTGGCCCTGAGCGAGAGAGTTTCTTTCTGGTGGTCGTTGACGACTACTCTCGCTACACCACAGTGTTCCCCCTGGCGAAGAAGTCTGAGGTGACTTCTACGCTGATCCGGTGGTTACTTACCACTGCGGACACTCGTGGTCGTCGTGTCAGCTGTCTTCACTCCGACCGTGGGGGTGAGTTTCGCTCCGGCATTCTCGCTGGATTCTGTCGCGAGCAGGGCATCCGTCAGTTCTGGACGCTTCCAGAGTCCCCACAGCAGAATGGGGTTACTGAGCGCCGCATAGGCTTGGTCATGGAGATTGCACGCACCTCCATGATTCACGCCCGTGCGCCCCATTTTCTGTGGCTCTACGCGGTTCGGTACGCCGCTCACCAGCTGAACCTCTGGCCACATGTCTATCGGCCAGAGGCTTCACCGACCAGTCTTTGGACCGGGTCCCCTGATGCTGCGTCGCGTTTTCGTGTCTGGGGCTGCTTGGCGCTTGTTCGCGACACCTCCGCGGATAAGCTCTCTCCTCGCGCCCTTCCCTGTGTCTTCCTTGGTTTCCCCGAGGACTCCTCTGGCTTCACCTTTTACCACCCTCCCCTTCACAGGTTCTTTGACTCCCGCAACGTTCGTTTTGTGGAGTCCGTCCCCTACTACACCCGGTACCCCTGTCGAGGTCTTTCGGTTCCTCCTCCCCCTCTCTTCCTGACTCCCGCCCCCTCTCCTGCCCCCCCGGTACAGCCCCCCCCCCCTTGGTCCAGCCCCGTCATGTGTGTCACACGCTACCCCCCCCCCCCCCCTCGGTCGCCCCTCAGGTACCGTCCACTTCCCCACAGTCCTCCTCCCAGCCTACTGCAGACCCTGCGGGAGCAGGTGCTCGTGTCGAGGACCTTGGAGGTGCTACCTCTGGAGGTGTTGGAGTTGGAGCTGAGCCCGTGTCTGCAGGAGGTTCTCGTGTTCGGGGAGCTGGTGTTGGTCGAGCTGTCCCTGGGGGTGCTACGACTGGGGGTGCGGGTGCACCCACTGCGGGACCTGGAGAGTCTGGGACTGGTCGTGTTGCTGCTGGTGGTGCTGGCTCTGGGGGTGGTGCGACTGGTGCTTTGGAGAGCGGTCCTGGGGCTACCACCGCCCCGGACATACTCCTCCCCCCCACCCCTACCCGACCCGGCACCTGGCCCGTGTTCGCCGTGCCCGTGAGGAGCAGCTGGAGTTGGAGCGAGAGGAGCGAGAGTTCGAGCGGCAGCAGCTGGAGCTACAGCGGCTGGAGGAGCAGCAGCAGGAGCAGCGGTTGCAGCCGGAGCAGGAGCAGCAGCCGCAGCGACAGCCGCAGCAGCAGCAGGAGCCGCAGCTGGATGAGCAGCGGCAGCAGGAGGAGCTGCAGCAGGAGCAGCAGCAGCCACCGCAGCAGCAGGAGCAGCAGCAGCAGCTGCCGCAGCAGGAGCAGCTGCAGCAGCCGCCGCAGCAGCAGCAGCAGCCGCCTCCTCCGCCTCCCGCCTTTGGCCTTCGGGCCCTCGGTCTCCCCTCTCCCTCTCCTCCCTCCTCTCCCTCTCCTCCTGTCTACGGTCCCACGTTTCCTCCTCCTGACCCCTCCCCAGTTGTTTTCACTCCTTCTCCTCTGTTGTCCCCTCCTCTTTCTCACGCTTGGCCTTCCCGTCGCTCTCCTCGTGCTCGTCCGTCGTCCCCTGTGCCCTTGACTGGCCTTCGTACTGTCCTGTGTCGTTCTAGTCCGCCTCGTTCGTCTCAGTCTGTGCTTCCTTCTCCTCCTGAGTCGGCCTTCACTGCTTCCCTCTCTACTCCTGTCACTGACTACTACCGCACGTACCAACCTGTTCTCTCTCGTGTTCTCGGCTCTCTTGTTACGGACCCTCGTGCCTCTCTGTCATCTGTCTCCGCCCTTACTGTCGCCGTCACTGAGTTCGCCACTACTCGCCGCCTTGACTGCGCCACTTGTCTCGTGGCTGCTCCTCCTACCAGTCCTCTGGCCGTCGGGGGTGAGTCTGCCCTTGGCTGTGACGCCCTAGAGAACAGGTAGTTTGAGCTGGAGTTCTTGGCAGCCGCTTCCCCTCATCTCTGTGCCATGCTGCTCGCCCCTGAGGGAGACCCCGACGCCCTTGACATGCCTACTCCTCGCACTTACGCTGAGGCAGTGTCAGGGCCTTGGGCCTCTCAGTGGAGAGCTGCCATGGACTCAGAGATGGCCTCCTACAAATCCACAGGCACTTACGTCGACGAGGTTCCCCCCCTTGGGGCGAACGTAGTCGATAGCATATGGATCTTCAGGGTGAAGCGGCCACCGGGATCTCCTCCGGTCTTCAAGGCGCGCTATGTGGCTAGAGGTTTCAGTCAGCGTGAGGGAGTTGACTTTTTTCAGACCTTCGCGCCTACCCCGAAGATGACCACTCTTCGGGTGTTACTGCACGTAGCAGCACAGAGAGACTACGAGCTACACTCTCTCGACTTCTCCACTGCCTTCCTTCAGGGTAGCTTACACGAGGAGGTCTGGTTGCGTCGTCCCTCTGCCTTCACTGGCACTTTCCCTCCTGGGACCCAGTGGAGGCTGAGGCGACCGGTCTACGGTCTCCGTCAGGCTCCTCGTGAGTGGCACGACACCCTTCGTTCTACCCTGTCTGACCTCGGTT